GCGCTTCTCCTTGAAGGAGATATGTGTGCCGATAAGAGATTTAGTAGTTGGAGATTTTCTAGTGTTTAAAGGATTTTAGTTGTTCAAATATCTAGTCATTTTAGTTAAAGCATCATGGTTACAAGAATATGTGCATATTTCATCCACATTTTCCTTTTCCTTTTTTTCCTTGAAAGGGATTAAGGTAGTTAAGGGAGAGATCATAATTAGGTTTAGCTTCCAATCTTAATAGATCGGATTATATTATTTAATTGGGCCTTGAAATATAACTAATTAATAAGGTTGGCCTTGAAAAGGTCTCATGCATAAATTCATTAGCCATGTTAAGAGTATGCATTTTTCAGTCATGTTAGTTCTATTTATCTAACCATCTCATACTAAAACACAAACCAACACAAGTTTAAGAGATTTATGGAAAGAAATTTACATACAACTTCCTTGCATCATAATTTCTATATTCGTCAACCAATCTCTATGTTGATTATCCTCATGATATGCACATGACAATGCAACTTGTGCTAATAAGATACTAACACATTTGTGCCAGTGAATCTCACTGATATTTTTGAAAAACTCATTTGCCTAACAAAGTCTGAGAAGAAAGTATATGATAATCTCAAAATCCATTGATCCAATGGCAGATATTTATTTGGTGCACATTTATTGTTATAGACCAAAATGTGTTGGATTAATTCTAAATTGTGGGCACATATGTGATATTAGTGTGTAGTGCTATCCTTTAAAGTTGACCCGCGTAAAGTGATCAATTATGTAAATTGGGGCAATGGGTATTGAATGTGTCATGTGCCAAATGTGTAGATACCATATTACAATTTCTAATTTGATGATGGGCCAAATTAGAAATTGCAATAACTACTTAATGGGTTATGGTCCCTAATCTAATGGCACGTTCTCAATTTTCTCTTCATCCCCATCTTTAATCAATTTATTCGATTGAATTGTTTGATCAAATCCATGACATCATTCGGTTGAGGTTTATGAACTTTGATTAAATTTATTTTGGCTAATCTTTGATTAATCGATTTGGTATGCCATTATTATTTGATTAATTCTTTTGATTAATAAAAAAAATTGGCCGGCAGTCGTCGCACCCACCGCCGGAAAATGGTGGGCCAACGGCCCGTCGGTAGGAGATGGCAGTGGCCATGGCAGTCGTTGCCACACAGAAACCCTAGGGCCGAAGCCCTAGGGTGCAGCAGTGAGGCCATTCAGCGACTGGGCTTTGGCCTAGTCAATTTATACACAGGCCCATGGGGCCTGTGACCAGTTACACAAAAAAAATGGGCTGAATTAGGATTTTGGCCAGTCAATATTTAATTCAAATAGGGGATGTTTATTCGGGCCTAGCCCTCTTTGGTCCGTTAAGTTTTAGCAAAACGATTTCTCTTATTTGGGTGTAATGTGCTATGGGTCTATGTTATTTTGGTTATTATTGCCCAAATAAAATTCAGAAATTTCCCTTTTATTTGGATTCAATTTTTGTTGATCAATTTTTTTTCAAATAATATGACACTAAGGTATTAATTTTATCTCTCATTCCAAATGATTAATTGAAACAAGATATTGCCAAAGTAACATCTCTTGTGTAGATTGTTCATGAGGGATGTTAGATGTTTGTGTGTATATCTTCATGTAAATATTTAATCGGCTCAAAGAAAGGTTAATATTTATTTAGATTGCATACACACCTGCGATGATAAACATATGACAATTATAAGGTTTACATGTGAATAATGAATCAATTCAAAGATAGTTTTATTATTTGACATGCGTTATTGTCAGGGTTTGATCATTGCAACAAGGTATCACTTGCAATTAATATTACTGTCAAAAGACTTGATATTAATGTTGTGTTAGATATCTTGAGATGGGATTTGTTATTATTTGAATTTTATTGATTACTGATTATGGTTAATAATGTGAGCTTATTTTGTTTATTTTTTGATTCAACGCATCTGCTGCTACAATTTTTGCTTAGATCAACTCAATTCTCATGCTCTATAGGACAAATTTCAAGGTTTGAAAGGAGAATATTCTCATTGTTCTTAGCTACATGGATCTAGACATTGCCTTAAGGACTGAACAACCCCAACCTCTCACTGCAGATAGTACTCCTGATGCAATAAGGGAGTATGAGAGGTGGGAGCGTTCAAATCGCATGAGTCTAATGATCATCAAGCGCGACATTCCGGAAGCCTCCAGGGGCATGGAATCCGAAGGTCTTACTAAAGCCAAAGATTTTCTTGTCAAAATTAAGAAACATTTTGCTAAAAATGATAAGGTAAAAACAAGCACGCTTTTAGCTCGCTTGATTTCGATGAAGTATAAGGATAAAGGAAATATCAGAGAGTACATCATGGAGATGTCTCATATTGTTTCGAAACTTAAGGCACTAAATTCCCCAAAAATCACCAAAAACGAGCTAGGGTTGAGAGGAGAGAGGGGGCTAGGGTTTCTCTAGGATTCTGATGGGACTTTTGGGTTGGTTTCAGGTAGAATAGATTTTATATAAGCGGTCAAACCCGAAATAAAACCAAACCAAACCAAACCCATAAAAGAAAAGAATCTAGAAATCTGCCCGTAAGTCGACTCATTGGTCGACTCATAAGTCGACTCATTGGTCGACTCATAAGTCGACTCATGAGTCGACTAAACCGACATTTTCCAGATTCGTGCATGTTTTGCTAAATTGCCAAAATCAATGCACAAAACTCTATATAATTATACTCATACTTCTCCAATAACTTGTTATCAAGTGTATCTATGACCTCAAGTCATTAATCATAATAGAATTATTTATCACTAATAATTCACATATACTTCTAACAAAAATACGGGGTTTTACACCACCCCTCTATTTTTTGGGGAAAATGCTGGCAGCACTAGCCCTGTACAAGTGCCACTAGCGCTTCTCCTTGAAGGAGATATGTGTGCCGATAAGAGATTTAGTAGTTGGAGATTTTCTAGTGTTTAAAGGATTTTAGTTGTTCAAATATCTAGTCATTTTAGTTAAAGCATCATGGTTACAAGAATATGTGCATATTTCATCCACATTTTCCTTTTCCTTTTTTTCCTTGAAAGGGATTAAGGTAGTTAAGGGAGAGATCATAATTAGGTTTAGCTTCCAATCTTAATAGATCGGATTATATTATTTAATTGGGCCTTGAAATATAACTAATTAATAAGGTTGGCCTTGAAAAGGTCTCATGCATAAATTCATTAGCCATGTTAAGAGTATGCATTTTTCAGTCATGTTAGTTCTATTTATCTAACCATCTCATACTAAAACACAAACCAACACAAGTTTAAGAGATTTATGGAAAGAAATTTACATACAACTTCCTTGCATCATAATTTCTATATTCGTCAACCAATCTCTATGTTGATTATCCTCATGATATGCACATGACAATGCAACTTGTGCTAATAAGATACTAACACATTTGTGCCAGTGAATCTCACTGATATTTTTGAAAAACTCATTTGCCTAACAAAGTCTGAGAAGAAAGTATATGATAATCTCAAAATCCATTGATCCAATGGCAGATATTTATTTGGTGCACATTTATTGTTATAGACCAAAATGTGTTGGATTAATTCTAAATTGTGGGCACATATGTGATATTAGTGTGTAGTGCTATCCTTTAAAGTTGACCCGCGTAAAGTGATCAATTATGTAAATTGGGGCAATGGGTATTGAATGTGTCATGTGCCAAATGTGTAGATACCATATTACAATTTCTAATTTGATGATGGGCCAAATTAGAAATTGCAATAACTACTTAATGGGTTATGGTCCCTAATCTAATGGCACGTTCTCAATTTTCTCTTCATCCCCATCTTTAATCAATTTATTCGATTGAATTGTTTGATCAAATCCATGACATCATTCGGTTGAGGTTTATGAACTTTGATTAAATTTATTTTGGCTAATCTTTGATTAATCGATTTGGTATGCCATTATTATTTGATTAATTCTTTTGATTAATAAAAAAAATTGGCCGGCAGTCGTCGCACCCACCGCCGGAAAATGGTGGGCCAACGGCCCGTCGGTAGGAGATGGCAGTGGCCATGGCAGTCGTTGCCACACAGAAACCCTAGGGCCGAAGCCCTAGGGTGCAGCAGTGAGGCCATTCAGCGACTGGGCTTTGGCCTAGTCAATTTATACACAGGCCCATGGGGCCTGTGACCAGTTACACAAAAAAAATGGGCTGAATTAGGATTTTGGCCAGTCAATATTTAATTCAAATAGGGGATGTTTATTCGGGCCTAGCCCTCTTTGGTCCGTTAAGTTTTAGCAAAACGATTTCTCTTATTTGGGTGTAATGTGCTATGGGTCTATGTTATTTTGGTTATTATTGCCCAAATAAAATTCAGAAATTTCCCTTTTATTTGGATTCAATTTTTGTTGATCAATTTTTTTTCAAATAATATGACACTAAGGTATTAATTTTATCTCTCATTCCAAATGATTAATTGAAACAAGATATTGCCAAAGTAACATCTCTTGTGTAGATTGTTCATGAGGGATGTTAGATGTTTGTGTGTATATCTTCATGTAAATATTTAATCGGCTCAAAGAAAGGTTAATATTTATTTAGATTGCATACACACCTGCGATGATAAACATATGACAATTATAAGGTTTACATGTGAATAATGAATCAATTCAAAGATAGTTTTATTATTTGACATGCGTTATTGTCAGGGTTTGATCATTGCAACAAGGTATCACTTGCAATTAATATTACTGTCAAAAGACTTGATATTAATGTTGTGTTAGATATCTTGAGATGGGATTTGTTATTATTTGAATTTTATTGATTACTGATTATGGTTAATAATGTGAGCTTATTTTGTTTATTTTTTGATTCAACGCATCTGCTGCTACAATTTTTGCTTAGATCAACTCAATTCTCATGCTCTATAGGACAAATTTCAAGGTTTGAAAGGAGAATATTCTCATTGTTCTTAGCTACATGGATCTAGACATTGCCTTAAGGACTGAACAACCCCAACCTCTCACTGCAGATAGTACTCCTGATGCAATAAGGGAGTATGAGAGGTGGGAGCGTTCAAATCGCATGAGTCTAATGATCATCAAGCGCGACATTCCGGAAGCCTCCAGGGGCATGGAATCCGAAGGTCTTACTAAAGCCAAAGATTTTCTTGTCAAAATTAAGAAACATTTTGCTAAAAATGATAAGGTAAAAACAAGCACGCTTTTAGCTCGCTTGATTTCGATGAAGTATAAGGATAAAGGAAATATCAGAGAGTACATCATGGAGATGTCTCATATTGTTTCGAAACTTAAGGCACTAAAAATTGATCTATGTGATGAGTTACTGGTGCATCTGGTTCTGTTGTCTCTTCCTACATAATTTAATCAATTTAAGATCAATTATAACTTCCAAAAGGAGAAATAAACTCTGAATGAACTTATTTCATACTGTGTGCAAGAGGAAGACAGGTTGAAGCAATATAAGACAGAAAGTGCTCATTTGGCTAGTGGCTCTAAGGATAAGGGGAAGAAAAGGAAGACTGATAATGAAGCTGCTAAGGGTCCAGCTCAACAAAAACAACATAAGGATGATCAGGGTTGTTTCTTTTGCAACAAGGCTAGACACATAAAAAATGATTGTCCCAAATACCATGCTTGGCATGTCAAGAAGGGTATATTCCTTACTTTGGTCTGTTCTGAGCTTAATTTAGCTTCAGTACCTAGAAACACTTAGTGGTTAGACTCTGGTCGTACTACTCACATAAGTGTTTCTATGTAGGATTGCCTGAGCTACCGAAAGCCAAGTGATGGTGAAAGATACATCTTTGTGGGCGATGGACAATCGGTAGATATGGAAGCAACTAGACACTTTAGGTTGCTATTAGGAACCGATTTCCATTTGGATTTGAAAGATACTTTTGTAGTACCATCTTTTAGATGAAATTTGGTTTCTGTTACTGTATTGGACAAATCAGGTTATTATTGTTCTTTTGAAAACAATCAGTTCAGTTTATCTTTAAATTCAAATGTTGTGGGAACTAGTTTTTTGAGTACTTATGATAACCTATATTTGCTTGATACAATTGCTTCTTATAATGAAACCTTGTATGTGGAATCATATGGTACTAAGCGTAAATTAAATAAGAAAAATTCAGCGATACTATGGCATAAGCGCTTGGGTCATATCTCAAAAGGTAGAGTTGAGCGTTTTGTGTCTGATGGCATTTTAGATCCCCTTGAATTTATAGATTTTGATGTATGTGTTGACTGTATCAAGGGAAAACATACTAAAGTTAAGAGATTAGGTACCAACAAATCTTCAGATGTCTTAGAATTGATACATACATATATTTGTGGGTCATTCTCTATGATATTTTGGAATTGTCAATAATATTTTATATCATTCATAGACAATTACTCACGTTATAGGTACCTATATCTCATTTATGAGATATCTAAGTCTATGGACGTGTTCTAAGCTTTTAAAGCTGAAGTTGAGAATCAATTCAATAAAAGGATTAAAACTGTTAGATCTGATCGTGGTGGTGAGTACTACGACATATATGATGATTCAGGTGAACAACGTTCAGGACCATTTACTAAATACCTAGAGGAATGCAGTATTGTCCTATAGTACTGATAATCACATTTTATTATAATTTTATACCCTTATTATCTATTTTATATGAATAAATATACCACTAATAATTATTTTTATCTTTAATTGCAGGTTAATGAAGAATAAGAGCCAAAACTCTCATCTCTCAACAAAAATCCCTTGATTTAATGAAGAAATGAAACCCATGAAGCCAAAGGAATTCTTTCAAATATTTAATGAAGAAATAATCCAAAGCCCAATGGAAAATCAAGAGAAAATGCCAAGCCCAAAAGTCTAAGCCAAATCCCAAGACACAAGCCCAAAAGCCAAGAGTTCTGCGGACAATAACCAGAAGAAGGCAGGCATTGATGCCTGCATCGATGCCTATATCGATGCCTGCATTGATACCATCGTACAGTTTGTTATAGATCTAAGGCTGAAATTTATTGTTCTTTGATAAGATTTCAATCCAATGGCTATCATTCACTAATGTTTACTATAAATAGGGGTAGAGAGTGAGGGGTTAAGGGTGTGAAAAATTTTGTAACTCTATTTGGAGAGGAGGGCTACTCTTAATTGAGAAGGCCTTCCAAAAATTATAACTTTTGTTATAATTAATAATAATAATTTTTCTCCTCTTTAAATTTTCTTTTCTGCTCTTTGTTGAATGATGAGGATGGAGATGAAGAGCAATTTGAAGGTTTATATTTCTTTTATTTTTTATTTCTTTTTAGTAATTTCTTTATTATTGCTTATTAGTTAGATTTACATTTATGCTTGTAGTGTAGATTTATTTTCTTGTCTTTTTTATTTCTTTTTTCACTTTATTTTGTAGAGTAGATTTTTATTTTCTTGCATTTAATTTCTGCAATTTAATGTGTAGTTTAGATTTTTATTCTTTGTAGTTAGATTTATTTCTTGTTCATAGTTTAGATTTTTATTTTTGTAATCAGTTCTTTTTCTTCTTGCTTTTATTTCTTAAGATGTGAATTTAATTCTCGTAGGAATCTTAGAATTGTATAAAACTAGTCTAATTTCCTTTATATTGTATGAATTAATCTCTTTCACTTAAAATGTTCATGTTTAGGATAATCAACTAGAGAACTAATCTGTAGAAGAAGAATTTGATAATCTAATAATCAACTAGAGAACTAATCTGTAGAAGAAGAATTTGATAATCTATACTTATCTTAAATGGTTTGATTGGTTATGCTTATGAATTCTAGGAATTTGATAATCTATACTTATCTTAAATGGTTTGATTGGTTATGCTTATGAATTCTAGGATTATTATCTTCTTCTTGTTCTTATCATGAATAGTAATTTTAACTTAGATGATAATTTAATAGGTTATACTTTCTTTAAATGGTTTGATAGTCTATGCTTAATAAATCTAAGTTGAATTATGATAAAAAGAGAATAGTTTGTATTTTATAATTAAAATTGGCTAGTGGATTATATTCTAGATTTCCTACCTCTTTTGAATCCTCCATCTTGACTTTCTTAAACTTTCTTTTCATTCTTGGTTTTATTTCTTGATTTTATTCATTCTTTTTCCTTGCCTTGTGATTTCATTTATTCTTTGATTCTTATTTCTTTCTCTAAAATTCAATTTATTGTTACTTGCACATAAATCAAAACAACCACTCATCATATCTCTCTCCACAATCACACTTATTCTTTAATCCTATTTTTTGTCACGCACACAATATAAGAACCTATTCTAATAATCTCTTAAAATCACCTTCCTCGTGGGATCGATAATTTTTATACTATAACTTGATCAATTGTGCACTTGCAATTTTGGTACATAATTATGTCGCATCAAGTTTTTGGCGCCGTTACCGGGGAGGGTGCTAAAATAGGATTTTATTATTTTGGTTCTTTAACTTGTGTGTTTTCTTGTGAAGGAACCGCTTGGAGCTTGAAAGTCTTGGATTGAAGATCAAGAATTTAGAGAATTGCTTTCGGGTAAGTCCTCTTTCTAGTTTTCAATTCCACCCTTTTTAGTTAGCTTCACAATTAGAGACACTTAGGATTTTAAAAAAAAACAAAAAGATTTTATTTTTGTTGACCATAATAAAATCCACCTTTCATACCGAATCCATAACAAAAAGTTTGACTCTGTTTTGTGTCAGTTTTGTTTATACCGAATCCAGGAGTATACCTAAGTATATATACTTGTTTTAAAGCTCTTTTAACCCTCTTTCACATGAGATTAACACCAGCCATCTTTCTCCTCAAACCCTAACCCTAATTGTGATTTTTGGGAGAGATCTCGGGGTATATGTCGAAGGAAAGGTGAGGAATTGTGTCATTTGGTAGAGGAGAAGTCTTGTGCACTTGTCTAGGAGTTCAAGATGATGTTTCAGGCAAGATCATCTGCATCCAAACCTTACCCATAGTTTAAAACATGGTTTTATGAAGTAATATGTTTAATATGATGCTTAGGTCTTAATCTAATGTGAAAAAGATTAGATTTTTGTTATTAGATCTTAAACAAATGTTAGATCTATATGATTTTCTCGTTGTTTATGATAGTTTTATGATCATGATAATTAGGGTTCTTCAAAATTTCATTTTTAACTTGTAAATCATGTTCTAATCATGTTTAAACCCTAAATTGATATTTAATTGAATTTACATGTGGATTAAAGATGAGAAACCCTAGATCTGTTATACTTAAGTGTTAAAAACATGATTAAACAAATTTATATCTTTCTAAAGTTGTTTGGCAATCATGTTTATGTTTATTATGTTAAAAGTTCATGCTTTAAATTGAAGAATTTGGTTAATTCGGTTGAAAAACCTGAATTAGATTAACACAAGAGTTTGAATTATGTTCAAGATAATTTCTGTAAGTAATTATCAAAGTTTAAGTGTCATTATATATTTTACAATAAGAAATTTTTATTTTTGAACAAGTTACGATATCACAAATCGACAAAACCTAAAAACCTGAGAAAAACAGTTTTTTCTCTGGTCGGTCGACCGATGCCCTAGGGGCGGTCGACCGACAAACCTCTGTTTGTGCACTTTGTGCACATTCCTGGTCCGGTCGAACCCGGCGTCTTTGGGGCGAGTCGACCAGCCTGCGTCTTTGTTGAGTTTACTGAGTATTGGGTTTCTTAGCATTTTGGATATGATCGCGGGGTGTGAGCCGCATGATGATACACGTCACCTTGAAGTACGCACGTAATAGTGCCGTAGCACACACATATGAGTACAGCCAAAGGGGATTATGTACCTGTGTTGTCCGCGATTAGCTTGAAATTATATATATATATATATATATAATATATATATATATATATATATTATATATATATATATATATATATATATATATATATATATATAATATATATTATATATATATATATATATATATAATATATATATATATATATATTCTTGTTGAATTATTCTTGACATGAGGTGATTGTGAACACGAGTTTTGGATCCACACATCGAAACGTGCGCGAATGTTTGAACAAACATTTTTTTAAGTCTACACGAGTAGTTGAGATGCTTAACACATGTTAAGTTGATAAATGTTGGAATAACATATGATAACATATAGTTCATCAGTTGTGGATGCTCAGTGTGGTTGTTTATTCCGTAATGAGACATCAGATGTACCACACTAGGAGTATTTAGTTGTTTTCCCCGTAATGAGACCTCAGCGGTACCAATACTAGAAGATGATTGGTGGTTTTCGGGTGGGGCTGATATGCCTACACTCCGTTGTACAGTCATCTAAATGCATAACCAGAATAGAG